GTTTGGATGATCCTCTGGGGTACAGGGTGTGACCCTTGGGGATGGGCCTGTGCAGGGCCAGGAGCTGAACTCAATCATCCTTGTGAGTCCCTTCCAACTCAACATATTCTGAGATTCTGTGATGTTTCTTGGGCGAATTTCCTCAGTGTCTGCAGTGATGGAAATGGTGCCTGTGTGTGGTTTCTGCAGGGCAATGGAGGGGATCAGACCTGGGAGCCAGTTCAAGGAACCAGAAGGAACTGCTATCTGGGCACACAGAGCACAGGATTTGGTGGCCAAACAAGAAAATTCTTTAGAGCCACCTCCCCAACAAAGGAGAGTTATGTGAGCGGCAGATAAACAGAGGCACTTACAGGGCTCTTCACAGAGGAATTGGCCACCAACTGCCATGGCCTCAGGACCAAGTGGCCTTTAAAGAAACCCAGCACCAGTCAATAAAATAACCAGTATGATATGTGTTTCATTTGAAAAGGTTCTTCCAGACACAAGTTCTTCAGTTATACAGCTTTCAACCACCACTTGTTGACTGGTACATCAATGTGTCCCTCTCCCCATGGTGCCTGTACATTGAACCAGCCTGTCCCCAGTGCTCTCCATAGGGACAATATAGAATCAGAGAATATCCTGAGTTGGGAGGGGAGAAGGGACCCGCAAGGATCATCCAAGTCCAACCCCTGGCTGTGACAGACACCCCAACAATCCCATCCTGTCCCTCAGAGTATTGTTCAAATGCTCCTGGAGCTTTCTCAGCCTTGGGGCTGTGCCCACTGCCCTGGGGAGCCTGGTCAGTGCCAACCACCCTCTGGGGGGAGAACCTTTTCCTGAGATCCAACCTGAGCCTGCCCTGACACAGCTCCAGCCATTCCCTGGGTCCTGTCACTGCTCACAGGGTGCAGAGATCGGAGCTGCCCCTCATGAGGAACGTGCAGACCCCAGTGAGTCTCCCCTCAGTCTCTTCTCCAGCTGAACAAACCCAGTGACCTCAGCTGCCCCTTGCTGGCTTCCCCTCTAGTCCACCCAAGTCAGCCAACAGCAAAAGCCCCCATCCCCCTGCACAGCAATAAAACCAACCTCACCCAGAAACCACCATTCCCAGGGGACACCACCTGCAGAGCAGCTGCTGCTGCCCAGCCAGAAGCCATGGGGAGAAGGGATCCTACACAGCAAACACCCAACCTGCAGATGCTTTCACCAATGGCTTGTGACCATGGCTGAAGGAGAAGCTCCCACTGCTTCCCATCAGTGGTCATATCTCCACTCTCTCCCAGGGCACCAGGGATGCTTTTCAGGGTTGCCCATGTATTGATCAATCTCTCAAGAGTTGCAGAGGCACAAAAACTCTGAAAATACACTGAACATTTCCTCCAAACTGATCTTTAAGTCAGAAATAGTTATGGACTTCTAGGCTTTCCCTAGACATTCTGACCCTGCACAGACAGCAGTGACCTCCCACCCTGCTGTTCTTGGTGGCTGTCCTGGCAGGGAAGGGAGGACAGGAGGAACAATGATGCTTCCGAGACAACCACCAGCTGAGGACACCTCCCAGGTTTCTTTCCAGTAGTGTGGACAATGATCAAGCAAAACCCAGGAGAAAATCAAACATCAGTACCTCTTTTCTCTCCCTCTGCAAGACAAGCCAACCCCAACAACAACACAGGGGAACTCTAATTAGCTTCCTTCTGAGTCCCTCGAAGGAAACATGGTCCAACTGCTCTTCCCTCTTTATATCAGCAACTGCCTTTGGATCTCAGAGACGCTGCAGGGAGCTGCTCCAGGTCAGAGACAGCAGAGGCAAGTGTAAGAGACGTGCCTTGCCAGGTTCTTGCAGGAAGCCCCTTTCCCTGGGGCAGGAGGAGAGGACAGTCTGATGTTCACAGAAAAAAAGAAAAAGCTGCTTCATCACAGCTGGAGGTGGGGTGGGGACAGGAAGCACTGTTTTGGAAGGGGCACACCACAGCCAGCCCAAAGCCAAAATTATTCCCATAATGTGACTAGTGATCAGAAAAACAAACAAACAGCAACCTGCAAAACCTTCTTTAGAGCTAAATCTAAGTATTTATGCAAAGCACCTACATTCTGCAAGGCGACTTTCCTGAAAACATTTCAGCAGTTTCTCAGGCTTTCCTCCCAGTTGCTTCATCTCTGTCAAACACAGCACCAGCCCTGGGCCCAGCGTGGGCCAGGTGACTGATGGGCAAATCACTGAACAAGCCAAAAGAAGATAATCAGCTTTTTCTTTCTGATCTTGGCTGAGCCTTTCGGGGTGACCAGATATGAACACAAAGCAGAAGTTACAGGAGGTCAGTAATCCTGAGCCAGGACCCTGAGATGGATGTGCACCTTGGCTCTGGGCCCTCCAGCAGAGCCAAGTGTCCAGGGACAGCTCTCCTGTCCCCACACAGCCAGGGAAGGGGGGTTCCTGATCCCGTGTCTTACCGAGCGTCTGCTGGTTGCGGACCCCACCTATGACCACGCAGATCTCCGCGGGCACATCTCCCGGCCCATCTTTGATGTTGTTCTTGGAATCTTTGGTGTCATCCTGCCAGATCACCTCTTCAATGTAGTCATCTGGTACCTCTGTTTTCACTTTCACCTCAGTCATCATTCCAGCCTCTTCACTGGGTGAGGACTGAGATGTCATCGAGTCGGAGCCCTCTGCTTTCGGGCTCTGTGGGCTCCTCTTCAAACACTCCCTGAAGGGGGGAAAAGAGGAGACAACATGAATCCTCATTGTCAAGTGCTCACTTTCTCGTACCAGGACCTAATGCAAGGTACCTTGGTTTATGCAGGTTATTTAAAGTTAGCATGGGTAGGTGTGTGTGTCTGTCACACACGGGAAGTAATTAAAATGTAACCAGACAAAAACAACAAAACCATTTGCTAATAATGAAAATAACCTCAATCATCACAAGCAACAGCAGCACGACCTAAACAAGAGCACAGAACTTCACATGGTTGCCAGCAGGCCAAGGGCACAGCTCCAGCAGTTCTGACAGCAGGTCCTGCACCAAGACTAGTCCACACATGCAAAAGCAAAGCCCTGCTCTTCTGTGGCACTGGGGACGTGGGTCAGTGGGGGACTTGACAGTGTTCGATTAATGGTTCAACTGGATGATCTTAAAGGTCTTTTCCAACCCCTAAATTAGTCTCTGATTCTCTGGCATTTTTAATGTGGAGCACTTGTGCACTTCTCCATCACATCCTCTCTTTTATCCTTTCAAGCAGCCTGACATCCTGTGGTATTCCCATGGCTTTATTTAACATATATGGTGCTGATCAAAGGGGATCATCTATAGCATGAGGATATTTAGGGAGACTATGCCATTATGGACAGATACAACTATCAGGGATGACAGAAAGTGTGATGGATGGGGAGAGGCAGAGGACATCCACAGTGTGCAAAAACAGATTAAGGAAATAACATGTGTTTTCATCTTGGAAAGAGAAAGCTGAAAATTCATGGGAGAAATTAATCTATAAAAACATTCAAAACCCCTTAGAAAAGGAAACTGGGCACCTCAAAGCTGCAAAACAACTTCAACAAGTGCCATGGTGGCAAAAGGCAAAAGGGGCTTGAGCACAAGAGACAAAGGCCTGGTAATAAGCCAGTGGAGCTCCTTTCCCAAATGCACCATCCCACCACTCCTTAGGGAGTCCTGGTTTTTAATACTGGTTATTAATAAACTCCAACATGCAATACAAAGATAAAATAATTGCTGCTTCAGTTTGTGGAGCTATCAGAAGAACTAAATATATAATGGCTTAGACTACCCAGAAACAGAAAAGACTGTGACATATTTAGAGTCATGTAAACACTGGGAACAGCCAAAGGTGTTTGAAAATGGTTTAGGCAGAAGTAACAGGCAAAATAAAATGAAAAATAGGCTGAACTTATGGATGATTGTTAGTTCATGCAGCAGCGACAGAGAAGGAAATCCCATTGCTTGGAACATCGTAAAGTCAGAATAAAGTATGAATTAAAATGTCAGAAAACCAACACCTGCAATGGGTTCTGACACTGGTTATGGAGCTGACAGAGAAAGCAAGACACTGCATCTGGAGGTGAGAGAGCCCAGTGGGTAATCCTGGGAGGACAGGGATGAGGGAGCAGAGGAACCAAGAGTAATTACTGCCCAGTCTCCAACACAGACATGGAGTTGCTATTTCAAAACAGGTCAGTCCCATCCCATCACCAGATATTTTATTATTCATCCCTCCAATCTCATTATGGAAAGAAATGTACAATTAATAGCCCCTAAACAGAGAGAATTAGCCTTGACCTGCCTTCCCACTCATTTCCTGCTTCCTCACACATACTCCCCCCGCTCCCAAAATCATACAGAGTTTTTACAAGGGAGAGATAAATTAAGACAGAGAAAATGTGGTTGAAAACTGGACTATCTTTATGGAAATATTATGGGATGTCCCAAAGGCCCATCAATGTCACCCTATATGGAGTGGCTCAGCACCTGTCCCAAGGGGAAGGCAGTAAGTACAAAACACTCAGGGATCAGAAAAGGGTGGGATTAGTTGAAAATCAATCAAATCAAGGAGGTGTGAAATGCAAAACACTGATAAAGGCAGCAATAGGGTGGATAGGAAGAACTCTCTGATGAGGACTGTGGAGGAAAAATAAAGTCAACCAGTACAATTCCCACTGGGAGGTTGGAAGGTGGGAGCAGGCAGTGAGAGCCAGCTCTGCTCTGAAGGAAAAACACCTTGGTTGTTGACCGTACAGCAACGTGTACCTGCCAATCCTGGACAAAACCACATGGAAATCCGTGCAGGAGCCAAGGGACATGGAATTAAAAACTAACACAAGTAGCAGCAAAGCAGAGGCTGCAGCTTTCTGAGATTATATGTGGGGTAAGAATATAAAGACTTTCTGATGGTGCCCAGCTTTGCACCCACACCAGTGGACCCCTCTCTCTGTAGCTGGCTCTGCCCCAGATAAGAGGTTGTAGAACAGTCAAACAAGTGCAGGAACATGGGTGCACCCACAAAGAGCTCCCACAGTGCTCAGCTGTGATGCCAGGGGCAGGTCCTGCTGCAGCCACACAGCCTGAAGGACTAACCCAATGTGCAGATCCAGGCACCCAGGACTGAACAAGGAGGGGATTTTCTCCCTGTAGGAAGCTGTGGTGAAGCCAGTCCCCAGTGCTGCAGACAGACCCAGCACCCTCCCCTGTGTCACCCACCGTGTTTCAAAGGTGATCAGAAAAGCTGGAGATGGTTCAAAAAAGCAGCACTGAAATGGTTCAAGTCTGGGAAAAGATACTTTATGACTTTGTGAGACCAAACCACTTCAATCCATTTCTCATGCCAAAAGGGAGACTGAGAGATGATTTGATTGCAGCATATTATCAATCTTCATGGGGAGAAAACACTGTCTTTCCTTAATTTAGCAGGGAAGAGTAGACTACAAGCTCGTCCTGGAAGCTGGAACCAGTTGAAATGAGGCATAAAATATTAGCACGGATGGTGATCCACTGGAACAACTGCTTTCCAAAGGATATGCTCAGGGACAACAAATCTCCCCAAGTTCTCAAACCCAGAGATGTGTATCTGGCTGGCCCCAGGTTACTGGGCTCAGTACAGATGTGCACTGGCCACACTTGGTGGCCTGAAGCTGCAGGAATACATAAATTATTAGACCAGGCCAATGGACTCTCAAAACCTTTGCCCTTCACACCCATTGACTTTCTGGATCCATCTCTGCCAAGGAAGTGATTTCCCAGCTGGGCTGTCTGCCCTTGGGTGGGACCTAAACCTCAAAGAGGAACTGAAAGCAATTCATTGCCCCATGTGTTCTAACCCTGAGCAGGTACCTGATGTGCAGAAGGAAACCAGCCCCAAATGCACCAAGTCGTCTGCACGACTTTATGGTTCACAAGCCCTGCTGATCCCATGAAATTAAAACGGTAAAAAAAATAGTACCACTGGATTTCTACACCAATTTTACAACAGAGTCCTTTTCTGTCTTCTGACACTTTCTCGGAGGGATGAAGGCAGCAGAGGTACCCGGGTCACAGCTGGGTGTGGCTGTACCTCTGCCGTGTGCAGGTGAACCCCATCCCCGCGGAGCCGCCGGCACCGCGCGCGGCCGGGCACTGCCAGGGCCCACCGAGATCTGCACGGAGCCACGGCAGCTCAGACCCCAGGGGAAGAACTCTAAGGTGGTGAAAAGGGAATAAATTACAAGCAGTAAGATTTTTTGTCCCAATTACTTGTACCTATAAAAATATCCAGGTGTCAATGCATGTGTCTGTACACCCACACAGACATGTGTGTGCACATCTAAGAAGGGCTGATAGTTGTGTCTCTGGCACGTCCCCTGGTCCCACCCAGCTCCTGCCCCTTCTCCCACACAGCCTCAGGACGTGCATCCTCTGCTGACACCCCGAGGTGCTGGTGTTTTATTGCACAGGCCAGGTCCTGCTTCACAGCCCTGAGGGCTCTGGGACTGCAGAACTGCAGGAACACACCCCCAAATGCAAACTTTGCTGCTGACCAGCACCAGGCTGGCACCAGTCCCACTCCACCAGCACGCTCTGTGCTCCCTTTACATGGCTGTTGCTGTTTCCTTTCACAAGGCAGATCTGTGTTCTCACATTGCTCTTATTATTTCATATCTCACAGAGATTTTTTAGCCACTGGCTGATGTCAAGCTTCAGCCAAACTTCAGCTGTAGACTTTCTCCAGCTCAATGTCCAGAGGAACATTATGGCTTTGCAGAATACCTTAAAATAAATGTAATCAAACAGCAGCACAGTCCCAAGTCCTCCTTCCTCCTCCTCTGGATGTGCTACGCAGGGGACAGAAGAGCCAGAAGGCTCTGATTGCTTCAAGTGATGCACAAGAGGGGCATCACCAGCTGCTGACAACAGCAGGAGAAGGTGATGGATCCTCCTACCTTCCCTGCATGTGGAGAACATCTCCCTCACCTCGATCCTTACAGCCTCCAAAGGACTGGTGGGCAGACCAGGCAGGAGAACTTGTCTGAACACTACAAATGAGCCCCTGACAGGCAACGGGATCGACTCTCCCAGGGCTCTGCCAGCACTGACACAGCCAAGGGTCTCACAGCACAGTGATCACCCAGTGACAGATCAACCTCTCATTCCTCTTGGACACTGACACCAAAAAGCTCCCCAAGCATGAAGGTGGGCCCCTTTCCAGGCCAGGTGACACAGGGGGTCAGAGAGCTGCTGTGCAGATGGCAGGACACAATGGAGCAGCTCTTACACTCCTGGGAGAAGGTCTGAGCTCTCCAAAATACACTCGGTGCCCCTACTGGGGCTGCACAGCTTTGGAGAGGAGAAGGAGACAGTGATGGGGGAGGACAACTCTCCCAGCAGGAACGAGCATCACCTTCCCGTGGTCTCAGATGAAATCCAGGCAGTGCCCCTGTGGCTGGAGCAGAACCAGGGTCAGTCCAGACTTCTGGACCTCAGTTGCTGAATGGGGTGTAACTGTCCCCAGGGAGCAGGGGCAGCTGGGCTGAGGGAAAAATCCTCATGGGACAGCAGAGTTTGAAACCTCCTGGGTTGGCTGGGGAAAGAGTACCAACATCCTGAGGCTAAATGGGAAAGAAAAGGAAATGAGTGACACTGAAAAAATCAGGCAGGATGGAGAGGGGTACACACACTGCCACAGCAGAGCCAGGGTCACCCCAGCCTCCACCATGCATGGC